ACACTAATGGACTTCACAGCTGCTTCAAGTATTTTGCACATGAAGGACTCCCACAGAGCAACTAGGTTCATCTGGTTTTCAAGTTCTGTGAATCGATCAGAGACTGCCGTGGCGAATCCACAGGCAGACTCTTCCTCCCTCAGTCTGCCCAAGTTAAAATCCCTAGAGTGACCACTGGAGGGACGGGGAGTTCTGATGTGGACCTGTAGGGTACCCACTACCAGCCTATGGTCAGTGTCACAGAACTCGGCACTCTGGTAAACCCCTGCAATTCTGAAGGATCTTCCATCATGTGCTGACAAGAATGAGGTTGATCTCCTTGACCACAGTACCTGAATCACTATAACATGTCCAGCAATGCAGGTTGGAGCACTAATACCATGAGCCAGAAAGCCTCAATCTCTGGTACCTAACAAGGTCCAGGATCAGCTGGCATCCTGAGCCATGGTGGCTGACAGACATCCCATAGCCAGCTCGATCACAGCTGGATACCACATTGAATTCTCAATGCAAAGGTCTTGCTGTGGACAACTGTGTGCCACAGACGTGACATAAAACACTTCTTTCACTTCAAGTTTGCAGACATCGGTAGGAGTGTACGCAGCAATAAGAGACACAAAGCCAAATGTATGCTTCTGTCTCAATGCCATAATATGCTCATTAACCCATTGCCGCCGGGGATGGCATGTACGTATATGCCATGCCCACTGTGAGTCGACTTGTTTGATTGTTTTTACACATAGATGGCTACACTTGTACTGCCTGTCTCGCCCGTTCACCCTTTTCATCGATTTACGAAAATATTTAACGTTATCCTAATTTGCTGATAAAAATAGCACCATCTATATTTATAGCACTAGTAAAAATACGTTTTTTCCCGCCAATTCAAGGGAAGGTGAAATCAGGACTAGCAGAGCCATCTATGGACAGAGATATTTCACAAAAATAAAAAAAATGAGTACTGCATTTCCCCCATTTTTTGTTCATTTTCCCCGTCGGCAATGGTTTAATTGGTGTTATCACAACTACCAAGGGTTGAAGTTGGCTGGAGATAGCTATGGCTTATCCCTGGAGATGATGACCATCACCACAGCCCGACCAGTAGTAGATGTATCCATCTATATGTGCTGTTGCCAGAGTCCGCAGGGTGTGGGGCCCATCTGTCTCTGGGGTTCCCTTGGGCAAAGCCCATACTGGGTTGGTGCCTGCCAGGGTGCAGGATGGGAACGAGTTACTCGTCCCGCCAACACTTGCCCTCCCAATGTGACCCACAGCCTGCCTCTCTTGCTATGTCAGAGGGACAGCACCCCTCCCCCCAGCATATCCATTTATTCTAGAAAGTGCCATTGTGTTATCTGGGAGAAGGAGGTGTGTGTGTGTGTGTATATATATTCATATATGTATGTATATGTACATACATATATGTATGTATGTATTTATATATGTGTATGTATCATCAGTCTATTACATATATGTATATGTAGCAGTGCCAATACAAGCAAACCCTATGAACTACAGCTCTCGCATCCATTCTCTTCTTGCAATTTCGAAGCAACCTTGAGAGCGCCGAAAGCTGCTGTGCCTCTCAACATGGCCACCAGGTACTTCATGTTTTCTGCAGCCACGGTTCGAGGCAGATGCTCCGTTTCCTTCGACAGGTAGGTGTAAACACCCAAGGCAACTTTGTAGCTGAGGTGACCTGAGGGCAAAGGGGCTTCACACATGTGTGTGCGTGAGTGTATGTGCATGTGTGTGTGTGTGTTTTCTTATTCTGTTGATAAAGAGAAAACTATCTATGAACTCTATATATCCATCTGTTTTAGCATACTTCATTGCCATATAATACAATCTTTGATAAAAACATAATGCTTAAGGCGCAGCTCACCACCTTAATCATGAAATTTTCGTAAAAAAATCGAAATTTAGATATTGGCATATTTGAATAATATAACTATCCTAGAAACAGAATATTGGCGAGATATATTTTTTGCGCGCAGTCGACGGGATGTGGAGCGAGTTAAAGGGACCGAGGGGCGTATCCAATTAAAGGGCGCACGCCAGATTCCTCCCTATACACATGTAAACATAGCTATTTTTCGCGTGTTATATTCCCTGTGGGTTACATATTTGAGTACCTGGCAACTATGCGGGGGTGAGGGATCGCGAGGGTGGCGAGGCACGAAAGTTTGAGAGCGTCAGTTACTTAGCAATAAGCAGAGACATACTACTGCCTTTGTGTCGTGTTTACTTCACACTCCTGCCATTGGGAGGATTTATACTACTCCTAACTGCTGTTCAGACATCAACTGCTGAAGATGAAGAGGAAAACAAAAGAAAGAATGAAGAAACTGAACCAGAAGTGGCAAGAAAGTTGTAGGAGAAGGAAGGAAGAGCGCGCGAGGATACAAACACGTGACTCGCCACCAGCTGATGTGTCACCACCTCCCTCACCCCCACCACCTCCTTCTCCACCACCAACGCTGCTTCCACCATCATCACCACCACCATCACCACCTTCAGAGACAACATCTTACAAAGTGACTCATACTAAATCTAAAGAAAAGCTGGAAAATAGTGCAACTATAACAGATAACAGTGCCACGAGTGGAGACAGAGAATTTTTGTTAGTTGACCTGGAAAATATGTTGGAGTGGGTTAGAGCAATTGCCCGGTGCACATGTGGGTCAAAAATGTCATTGAGAAGAGGGAAGGCGCTCATTGCTGGTAAAAATAAACCCCAGCAGTGAGGTTTTATAACCGGTAAAAGCGCACCATCATTTAAAAAAAAAATAATATATACAGTAAATATGTATATAATTAAATATATTTCTGTCCGCTTGTTTTATATACCTTGTATAATAATTTGTGTGAACATAATAAAAAATCGCACAATAAATAAAGAGTTGTACATTACTGAAACCTTTATACGCTAATATCTCAAAACCACATATTTCCACATAAAAAAATATGCCAAAATTTTATAATCAATTGTAGAAGCCTGAAAATGCTTCTGGTAGTGTATAATAGATATATCTTTATTTCTGTGGCTCTTTTTTCCGATATCTTAAAAAACAGAGTGACAGTTACCATTTAAGTGGAGAAATAGGGTGCGTCGTTACGTACCTTACGTTACGAAAATTACGCTATGCGTCGTAGAGCGAATTTTTAAAAAAGCAGGTGTGTAAGTGTTCATAAGATTTTTAAGTATTACCATGCAAAAGCAGAAGTTTGTAGTACAAAAAATACGACGTACGTATTTGATAACGTATAAAATATTCTATTACGTTATAACTTTATAACGTCGGGACGTAGGAAGTTCTCGGGTTTACAATATATTTCTATCTATATTTTAAGCAAAACCTGAAAGTTTCATGTTGAAAGACCGAAAACTTTTTTTTTTACGAATATTTTTATGTAAGGTGGTGAGCGTACCCTTAAGTATAAACCCACCAGCTTTAGCAAGATTCATAGCATCATCAATAATCTGTGCACGATTGAAGACATGGATGACCTTGTGGTCGTCCTTCAGCTGCTGGATGAGGAGGTTCCAGTTGTGGTCGTCGTAGTTGACTCTGTAGTAGCCCGTCTGCTGCAGGTTGAAGATGATCCATTCATCTTCGGCAGAAAAATATGTGATGTTTAAGCTTTCCCAGTAGTCCCTCAACCACACCATAATCTGTGTTCTGTTGAAGTCAGCTCTGCTCCGAGTGGTGAAAGTCAAGGGAATCCACCACTTGTAGTCGTGAGTGTCACTGAGGTTGCGATTTTCTGAAAGGAAGTGTTCCTGAGAAGAAAAAAGTTATGGAATACTGTTCTCGATAAATATTTCTAATTTGGCATACCGTGTTTTTCAAAACTAGTATTGGGTACCTTTAATACCACTATTATTCGATATGATACACAAAACCTACCTGCGTGATGATGCCGGAGGTCCTGTCGGCGCTCCAGGCCAAGCGGACGACGGGGTAGCCCTTCTGCAGCGTCCACGGGTCCATGAACATCTTGATGGTGTCGAAATCAAATATACGGCCATCCTGGTGGGCGGCATCAGTCAGGTACTCCCATAGATCGTCTTGAGCTGCATTGCTGTACTTGCTACAGAATAGTTCAGAAAGAGTGGTGTGAAAAATCTCAATGAATTTAGCAGCAATAAAATCCATTTATACCTTTTCTGGGTTCTAAACATGTACAATAACAACAAAAAAGCACGCAAATAGTTACAATGAATTCAAGTAGTTGTTGAGGCCTTTCTTGAAGGTGGCTTGCCCGAGGAAGTGGGACATCATACGGATGATGGAGGCTCCTTGGATAGCAGAGAGGAAATGAACGGCATTAATATCATACACTAGACATCTTGTGGAACTTGCACTTGCTTCTCATTCAGAACGAGTCAACAGTGGCAGAGCTTACCTTTCAGGTAAGATATGCTGTCGAAATTTTCGTTGATATCATCTCGGTGACAAACAGGGATGCTGATTTTGTGTGACGACTGTAGGCTATCCTCCCAGAACACCTGCTGGAGCATCCTGACGCCCGCTGCCTCCGCGCCCTCCCATAGGGCCTCCGGCTGAAAAGTGAAGAGATAAGTAAAGAAGGAATAATGACAATAAAAATAAGAGATATGCATACATGGACAACTGAAAAATAATAGTAATATATGATAAATATTACATAAATGACGTTGCACGTTTTGTGTGTGCTTGTGTATACTTGAGATCTTGCATGTTTAATAAACAGTTTTGCTCTTTAATTATTTTGAACACTGATATTATTCAATTCTGAAAAAAAAATCACTGAATTGGTCCAATTTGACACCGATCTTGATTTCATTGTTTCCTTAAAGTTACTTATACTCTTCATATCGGGTTTTCCAAACACTGCCAAGAACAATACAGAGAAACACCAAGACCACTCACCTGCGTGGCCGCCGCGCCCAAGACACTCATGTAGGTGGCAAACCCCTCATTAAGCCAGGTGTCATCCCACCACTTGGGCGTGACCAGGTTACCGAACCACTGATGGGCCAGCTCGTGAGCCACTGCCTCGATCATGGAGCTCTTATCTCCCTTAATAGGAGACTCGGCGTTATAGAGAACTGAGTTTTCCCTGTTTGAAAGAAGTTTAGTTGAATGTATACGATAATGGATTGTGTAAGGTAGATTGTGGAAGGTTTGTTTAGAATGCTATTCTGATATACAAATGCTCTGCAGAAGACAAGCTATATTTTATAGCTAATCCATATAGTTTGCAGATGATAAGAAGATGCCGTAAGAAGGGCAACTGCAATTTCATTTCCCTCATATGAGGCTTTATATGAAATGTTAAGGAAGAGTTTTCCTGAAGTATCCCCGATGTATCACAAAACAAAGCTCAGGGACATTTTTACAAAGGGGTTGCAGAATATCCCCATTATGGACTGATGGAATGAAGTATTCAAATCTTTGCTTTTCAAAATAAGATTCCAAAGCACAGACCACAAAGGGAATAGTTAAGCAGACAGGGTATTGAAGTGAGACGTGAGATATATATATATATATCTGTGTGTGTATGTGCCTATAGCTATCAAATATTATATATGTGTGTGTGTGTGTGTGTATATGTATATATATATATATATATATATATATATATATATATATATATATATATATATATATATATATATATCAACATCCATTCATTCCACTGCAGGACATAGGCCTCTCTCAATTCACTATTGAGAGGTTATGTCACCCTTGCCTGATTGGATGCCCTTCCTAATCAACCGCGGTTCGGCGCGCTAAGACTTGTGCCACGGCGATGGCTTCCCTACGACACCTGCGTTTGACTTCTCAATGCGATATGTCGTCAGAGCGCAGGCATTTTTTACGACCGCCGCGGCGGGGAATTGAACTCGGGACCACGAGGGTCGGAGTCCAGTGCTCTAACCACTGGACCATCACGACAGTCATATGTGTGTATATATACATATATATGTGTATATATATATATGTGTGTGTGTGTGTATGTGTGTATGTGTGTATGTGTGTGTATTTATATGTGTATATGCCGTAATGGTCCATTGGTTAGAGCACTGTACTCCGACCCTCGTAGTCCCGATTTCAATTCCCCCGTGAAAATGCCTGCGCTGTGACTGCTGGCTCGAACCCGAGAAAACGACATATCGCCTTGAGAAGTCAAACGCAAGTGTCGTAGGGGAAGTCACCGCCGTGGCACAAGTGTGTGTGTGTATGTTTTAGTTTTAGTGCCCATACTTCACCTGTAGGTAATAAGACCCCAGTTCTCCATGTCGGATGTCAAGTCCGGCAGAGCAACGATGTCCAACTTCTTGAGGGGATACGGAATACCGAAATATTCCTCAAAGAAGCGTAAAATCTTGGCAGCTATTTCACTCGCATATTTTGCATCCTCTATAGTGGATTCTCTGGCCCACACTGCCAAAGGGAAAAGAGGGAAATGTGAGCAAGAAAAATTAAAAGAAAATGGTTCATATGTTTATGATTCAAGAAGACGGCATGTGTCTATATGTGTGCATGTGTGTGAGTGTGAGTGTTGTGTGTGATAATGTTTGCGTGTGTTGTGTATGTACGTTTTATGTTAATATGTGTTGCTATCAGATAAGGAAAGAAATTATAACTCAAAAATCGCCATTACCTCGGAGCAGCACACGGTCATCCACTGTGGCATTGATATGAACGAAGTCAGAGACGACGAAGGCGACGAGGTAGGTGGACATGGGGACGCTCCTCTCGAAGCGGTCCCACACCCAGCCCTCCTGACCTTCGCTGTGCGGGCCAAAATATCACCCATATTATGCAACATACGATGAATTAGGCTTTGAAAGTCTCTTGGGCGCGAATGATGTTAAGTAAACGAAATAGTTTCCACAGACACAAGAAATAAAACTTTATTTGGCTCTCGGGCAGGAAAGATTAATTTCGGCGATTACACTCACACAGGTCGCGTCTCGGCGAGGGGCATGTTGGAGAGTGACGTCATCCAGGTCTCCCTTGCCAGGTGGACCTCGAAGGTCGCCTTCAGGGCCGGCTCGTCGAAGCACGGGAAGGCGCGGCGGGCGTGCGTGGGCTGGAACTGGGTCACAGCTAAATACCTGTTGGTATCAATGCGTTTTGTTTGATTTCCCTTATAATAATTAGGTATTTTATCGACTTGTATATCAAGCTATCGTCATTCTCTTGCCCTTCTGTCGGTCCATATTTCACATCTATATGTCTGTATCTGTCTATAAATCTATATGTCTATCTATACCTATCTATAAATCTAAACATTTCTCTATCTCCCCATCCATACATTCTCTCGATATTTCTTTGATTCTATCTATCTATGTACATTACAGTAACAGAGAGCCACTCACTGATTGTCCCCATCAGCATCTCTATAGCTTAGTCTGTAAAAGCCATAAAGCTCATCGCTCAAGTACCCGACGAACTCCATGGCCAGAGCGTACTTGGCCCCCCTCTCCAGCGGCTCCTCCAGGCG